AAAAGCGTTCCAGTGGAATGTGACATAAATTTACATTGAATCAGGAAACACTCGCCCTGAGCAGAAAAGCAACAAGTTCAAGATCACTGACAGGGAAACTGCACACAGCTCAGCAAAGAGATCCTTTGATGACCATCCTGGATCCCTTTTGCCACACTTTTTGCACACTCAGATTTTTCCTGAGGCCGAGGCCTAGCTTTTTTGCAGCGACTTGCTTCACGGTGCCGGCCTGCGTAGCTTCCATGCTGGTGTCTGGCACGCAGTTCTCTAAATGGGGTCCGAAGCGATGAACATTATCAACGCTGTTCCCTGCTGAGCTGTGCACACCTCGCTCATAGGCAAAGAGCCATGCTGGGCCCAATCCCGCCTCTTCACTAAAGGGCATCTGCATTGCCAAAGATTTACCTCGCACAGGCATCATCCGAAAGCTAGAAGCCATGCGTGTCAATCTTGCCATGATCGCAACCAGCACCTCATCTTCGCTGTCCACTGTCTACTTCATATCAGCAATCAGCTCCAGTTTCAAGGGCAATGCCGGGTCAGGCCCACAATAGTAAATCTTTGCAAAGGTGAACAACGAGCGAGAACTTGGACTGGCAATTTTACAGTCTGTCAGCATGTTTGCAGGCTACCTTTGCCGGCAAAGTAGCTGCTCTGCAATCTCACTGCTGTCGACACTGTTTGTGTTTCATACCGGGCACGGGAACTGGCCAGAGCGTCATCTCTTGGCCCCTGTCTCTGACTGATTCAATGACGTGAGTCTGAAGCACATTGGGGTTGCTTTGCTGCCCGATGGGCACTGGATCCAGTGCACCAAACACACCACGACCCTGAAAGCAAGGGAAGCCGCCAATAGATCGTGGCATTGTTTGCTTCCCGGTCGCTGGAAAGATAATCATGCCATGTAATTGAAGACCCGGGAGGTGTTGGCACAACTCAAAGCCTCACTCAGACCACTTCCGTGCCTGAAACCAGAGACACCAAGATCTCCACTGTGCCTGGGACGCAGTGGGGCAAAAAAGCGCCTCCCATATGTCACAAATAAAAGGACTTCGCTTCAGACCCTCACTCAACATTACTGCGTAGCTGGACATCGCAAAAAAGCTAGACAACGAGTGGCCAGGAAACATAGAGCAAATTGATGCAGGCAAAGTAACTCTTAAAAAGTTGCCATCAGAAGTTGGCAGGTGAAGTAACTCTCGAAACTTGGCATCAGCAGTTGGCAGGTGAAGTAATTCTCGAAAAGTTGGCATCAGAAATTGGCAGGTGACGTGATGCTCGGAAAGTTGCGAAGTAACTCAGGAAAAGTTGGGATAAAATGTTGGCAGGTAAACTAACTCTCTAAAAGCTGGCAAAGCTGGCAAATGAAGTAATTCTCGAAAAGTTGGCAGGCGAAGTTGGCAGGCGAAGTGGGCAAGTGAAGTACTTCTCGAAAAGTTGGCACGAGAGAAGTTGGCAGGTAAAGTAACTCTCGAAGAATTAAAATTGGGAAGTTAGCAGGTAAAGCAACTCTTGAAAAATTGGCATGAAAAGTTGGCAGGCGAAGTAACTCTCGAAAAGTTGGCATGAAAAGCTGGCAGGTAAAGCAATTCTTGAAAAGTTGGCAGGCAAAGCTGGCAGGTGAAGTAGTTTTTGAAGAGTTGGCAGGAGAGAAGTTGGCAGGTGTAGTAACTCTCGAATAGTTGGCATGAGAAGCTGGCAGGTGAAGTAACTCTCGAAAAGTTGGGATGGGAAGTTAGCAGGTAAAGTAACTCTCGAAAAGTTGGCATGAAAAGTTGGCAGGCGAAGTAACTCTCGAAAAACTGGCATGAGAAGCTGCCAGGTGAAGTAACTCTCGAAAAGTTGGGATGAACAGTTGGGAGGCGAAGTAACTCTCGAAAAGTTGGCACGAGAAGCTGGCAGGTGAATATTTTGAAAAATTGGCAGGAGAGAAGTTGGCAGGTGTAGTAACTCTCGAAAAGTTGGCAGGAAAAGTTGGCAGGCGAAGTAACTCTCGAAAAGTTGGCATGAGAAGCTGGCAGGTAAAGCAATTTCTGAAAAGTTGGCAGGAGAGAAGTTGGCAGGTGTGTACTCTCGAATAGCTGGCATGAACAGCTGGCAGGCGAAGTAACTCTCGAAAAGTTGGCATGAGACGCTGGCAGGTAAAGTAGTTTTTGAAAAGTTGGCAGGAGAGAAGTTGGCAGGAGAGAAGTTGGCAGTTGTAGTAACTCTCGAAAAGTTGGCATGAGAAGCTGGCAGGTAAAGCAATTTTTGAAAAGTTGGCAGGAGAGAAGTTGGCAGGCGAAGTAACTCTCGAAAAGTTGGCACGAGAAGCTGGCAGGTAAAGCAATTATTGAAAAGTTTGCATGAGAAGCTGGCAGGCAAAGCAATTATTGAAAAGTTGGCAGGAGAGAAGTTGGCAGGTGAAGTAACTCTCGAAAAGTTGGCATGAGAAGCTGGAAGGTGTAGTATTTTTGAAAAGTTGGCAGGAGAGAAGTTGGCAGGTGTAGTAACTCGCGAAAAATTGGCATGAAAAGTTGGCAGGCGAAGTAACTCTCGAAAAGTTGGCATGAGAAGCTGGCAGGTAAAGCAATTTCTGAAAAGTTGGCAGGAGAGAAGTTGGCAGGTGTGGTAACTCTCGAAAAGCTGGCATGAACAGCTGGCAGGCGAAGTAACTCTCGAAAAGTTGGCATGAGACGCTGGCAGGTAAAGTAGTTATTGAACAGTTGGCAGGGGAGAAGTTGGCAGGAGAGAAGTTGGCAGGTGTAGTAACTCTCGAAAAGTTGGCATGAAAAGTTGGCAGGCGAAGTAACTCTCGAAAAGCTGGCATGGGAAGCTGGCAGGTGAAGTAATTTTTGAAAAGTTGGCAGGCAAAACTGGCAGTTGGCATGAGAAGCTGGCAGGTGAAGATTTATTGAGAATTGGCAGGAGAGAAGTTGGCAGGTGTAGTAACTCTCGAAAAGTTGGCATGAAAAGCTGGCAAGCGAAGTAACTCTCGAAAAGCTGGCATGAGAAGCTGGCGGGTGAAGATTGTTGAAACATTGGTAGGAGAGAAGTTGGCAGGTGTAGTAACTCTCGAAAAGTTGGCATCAAAGCTGGCAGGTAAAGTATTTTGAAAAGTTGGCAGGAGAGAAGTTGGCAGGCGAAGTAACTCTCGAAAAGTTGGCACGAGAAGCTGGCAGGTAAAGCAATTATTGAAAAGTTGGCATGAGAAGCTGGCAGGCAAAGCAATTATTGAAAAGTTGGCTGGCAGGCAAAGTTTCAAGTTGGCAGGAGAGAAGTTGGCAGGCGAAGTAACTCTCGAAAAGTTGGCACGAGAAGCTGGCAGGTAAAGCAATTATTGAAAAGTTGGCATGAGAAGCTGGCAGGCAAAGCAATTGTTGAAAAGTTGGCAGGAGAGAAGTTGGCAGGTGAAGAAATTTTTGAAAAGTTGGCATGAGAAGCTGGCAGGCAAAGCAATTTTTGAAAAGTTGGCAGGAGAGAAGTTGGCAGGCGAAGTAACTCTCGAAAAGTTGGCACGAGAAGCTGGCAGGTAAAGCAATTATTGAAAAGTTGGCATGAGAAGCTGGGAGGTAAAGCAATTGTTGAAAAGTTGGCAGGAGAGAAGTTGGCAGGCGAAGTAACTCTCGAAAAGTTGGCACGAGAAGCTGGCAGGCAAAGCAATTTTTGAAAAGTTGGCATGAGAAGCTGACAGGTGAAGATGTATTGAAAAGTTGGCAGGAGAGAAGTTGGCAGGTGAAGTAATTATTGAAAAGTTGGCATGAGAAGCTGGCAGGCAAAGCAATTATTGAAAAGTTGGCAGGAGAGAAGTTGGCAGGCAAAGTAACTCTCGAAAAGTTGGCACGAGAAGCTGGCAGGTAAAGCAATTATTGAAAAGTTGGCATGAGAAGCTGGCAGGCAAAGCAATTTTTGAAAAGTTGGCAGGAGAGAAATTGGCAGGTGAAGTAATTATTGAAAAGTTGGCATGAGAAGCTGGGAGGTAAAGTATTTTGAAAAGTTGGCAGGAGAGAAGTTGGCAGGCGAAGTAACTCTCGAAAAGTTGGCACGAGAAGCTGGCAGGCAAAGCAATTATTGAAAAGTTGGCATGAGAAGCTGGCAGGCAAAGCAATTGTTGAAAAGTTGGCAGGAGAGAAGTTGGCAGGTGAAGAAATTTTTGAAAAGTTGGCATGAGAAGCTGGCAGGCAAAGCAATTTTTGAAAAGTTGGCAGGAGAGAAGTTGGCAGGCGAAGTAACTCTCGAAAAGTTGGCACGAGAAGCTGGCAGGCAAAGCAATTTTTGAAAAGTTGGCATGAGAAGCTGGCAGGCAAAGCAATTGTTGAAAAGTTGGCAGGAGAGAAGTTGGCAGGTGAAGAAAGTATTGAAAAGTTGGCACGAGAAGCTGGCAGGTAAAGCAATTATTGAAAAGTTGGCATGAGAAGCTGGCAGGCAAAGCAATTTTTGAAAAGTTGGCAGGAGAGAAGTTGGCAGGTGAAGTAATTATTGAAAAGTTGGCATGAGAAGCTGGCAGGTAAAGAATTTTTGAAAGTTGGCAGGAAAGAAATTGGCAGGTGAAATAATTATTGACAAGTTGGCGTGAGAAGCTGGCAGGTAAAGTATTTTTGAAAGTTGGCAGGAAAGAAATTGGCAGGTGAAGTAATTATTGAAAAGTTGGCATGAGAAGCTGGCAGGTAAAGTATTTTGAAAAGTTGGCAGGAGAGAAGTTGGCAGGCGAAGTAACTCTCGAAAAGTTGGCACGAGAAGCTGGCAGGTAAAGCAATTATTGAAAAGTTGGCATGAGAAGCTGGCAGGCAAAGCAATTTTTGAAAAGTTGGCAGGAGAGAAGTTGGCAGGTGAAGTAATTATTGAAAAGTTGGCATGAGAAGCTGGCAGGTAAAGAATTTTTGAAAGTTGGCAGGAGAGTGGCAGGCGAAAAGTTGGCACGAGAAGCTGGCAGGAGATTGAAGCATGAGAAGCTGGCAGGTGCAGGAGAGAAATTGGCATTGAAAAGTTGGCATGAGAAGCTGGCAGGTAAAGTATTATTGAAAAGTTGTCAGGAAAGAAATTGGCAGGTGAAGTAACTATTGAAAAGTTGGCATGAGAAGCTGGCAGGTAAAGTATTTTGAAAAGTTGGCAGGAGAGAAGTTGGCAGGCGAAGTAACTCTCGAAAAGTTGGCACGAGAAGCTGGCAGGTAAAGCAATTATGGAAAAGATGGCATGAGAAGCTGGCAGGCAAAGCAATTTTTGAAAAGTTGGCAGGAGAGAAGTTGGCAGGAGAGAAGTTGGCAGGCGAAGTAACTCTCGAAAAGTTGGCACGAGAAGCTGGAAGGCAAAGCAATTTTTGAAAAGTTGGCATGAGAAGCTGGCAGGTGAAGATTTATTGAAAAGTTGGCAGGAGAGAAGTTGGCAGGTGAAGTAATTATTGAAAAGTTTGCATGAGAAGCTGGCAGGCAAAGCACTTTTTGAAAAGTTGGCAGGAGAGAAGTTGGCAGGCGAAGTAACTCTCAAAAAGTTGGCACGAGAAGCTGGCACGTAAAGCAATTATTGAAAAGATGGCATGAGAAGCTGGCAGGTGAAGCAATTTTTGAAAAGTTGGCAGGAGAGAAGTTGGCAGGCGAAGTAACTCTCGAAAAGTTGGCACGAGAAGCTGGCAGGTAAAGCAATTATTGAAAAGTTGGCATGAGAAGCTGGCAGGCAAAGCAATTGTTGAAAAGTTGGCAGGAGAAAAGTTGGCAGGTGAAGTAATTCTTGAAAAGTTGGCATGAGAAGCTGGCAGGTAAAGTATTGTTGAAAAGTTGGCAGGAAAGAAATTGGCAGGTGAAGAAATTATTGAAAAGTTGGCATGAGAAGCTGGCAGGTAAAGTATTATTGAAAAGTTGTCAGGAAAGAAATTGGCAGGTGAAGTAATTATTGAAAAGTTGGCATGAGAAGCTGGCAGGTAAAGTATGTTGAAAGTTGGCAGGAGAGAAGTTGGCATGCGAAGTAACTCTCCAAAAAGTTGGCACGAGAAGCTGGCAGGTAAAGCAATTATTGAAAAGTTGGCATGAGAAGCTGGCAGGCAAAGCAATTATTGAAAAGTTGGCAGGAGAGAAGTTGGCAGGCGAAGTAACTCTCGAAAAGTTGGCATGAGAAGCTGGCAGGTAAAGTATTTTGAAAAGTTGGCAGGAGAGAAGTTGGCAGGCGAAGTAACTCTCGAAAAGTTGGCACGAGAAGCTGGCAGGTAAAGCAATTATTGAAAAGTTGGCATGAGAAGCTGGCAGGCAAAGCAATTTTTGAAAAGTTGGCCTGAAAAGTTGGCAGGCGAAGTAACTCTCGAAAAGTTGGCATGAGAAGCTGGCAGGTAAAGTATTATTGAAAAGTTGGCAGGAGAGAAGTTGGCAGGCGAAGTAACTCTCGAAAAGTTGGCATGAGAAGCTGGCAGGTAAAGTATTTTTGAAAAGTTGGCAGGAGAGAAGTTGGCAGGCGAAGTAACTCTCGAAAAGTTGGCACGAGAAGCTGGCAGGTAAAGTATTTTTCAAAAGTTGGCAGGAGAGAAGTTGGCAGGCGAAGTAACTCTCGAAAGGTTGGCACGAGAAGCTGGCAGGTAAAGTATTGTTGAAAAGTTGGCAGTTGGCAGGCGAAGTAACTCTCGAAAAGTTGGCACGAGAAGCTGGCAGGTAACGTATTTTTGAAAAGTTGGCAGGAGAGAAGTTGGCAGGTGAAGTAACTCTCGAAAAGTTGGCATGAGAAGCTGGCAGGGTATTTTTGAAAAGTTGGCAGGAGAGAAGTTGGCAGGCGAAGTAACTCTCGAAAAGTTGGCACGAGAAGCTGGCAGGTAAAGAAAAGTTGGCAGGAGAGAAAGTGGTAAGTTGGCTGGCAGCGCAGGTAAAGTATTTTTGAAAGTTGGCGAAAAGCATTGGAGGAAGTTGGCAGGCGAAGTAACTCTCGAAAAGTTGGCACGAGAAGCTGGCAGGTAAAGTATTTTTGAAAAGTTGGCAGGAGAGAAGTTGGCAGGCGAAGTAACTCTCGAAAAGTTGGCACGAGAAGCTGGCAGGTAAAGTATTTTTGAAAAGTTGGCAGGAGAGAAGTTGGCAGGCGAAGTAACTCTCGAAAAGTTGGCACGAGAAGCTGGCAGGTAAAGTATTTTTGAAAAGTTGGCAGGAGAGAAGTTGGCAGGCGAAGTAACTCTCGAAAAGTTGGCACGAGAAGCTGGCAGATAAAGCAATTCTGGAAAAGATGGCATGAGAAGCTGGCAGGCAAAGCAATTTTTGAAAAGTTGGCAGGAGAGAAGTTGGCAGGAGAGAAGTTGGCAGGCGAAGTAACTCTCGAAAAGTTGGCACGAGAAGCTGGAAGGCAAAGCAATTTTTGAAAAGTTGGCATGAGAAGCTGGCAGGTGAAGATTTATTGAAAAGTTGGCAGGAGAGAAGTTGGCAGGTGAAGTAATTATTGAAAAGTTTGCATGAGAAGCTGGCAGGCAAAGCACTTTTCAGCATCGCACCACCAGGATATCGAGCCAAAACCGCACGGCAGGGGAAGGTCACGCAGCTGACAGGAACGGAACGAAGCAAGAACATAGGGCCGGCAAAACCGGTGGCCGGAAGCTTCTACAACATAAAACTATAGCTTTGCTCTTCTGTTGCTTCTTGCGTGGTCTGTTCTTGTCTGCTTTCTTTCCTTCCTTTCTTTCCATTTTGCTTGTTTTGCGCTTCTTCTTGCTGCTTTATTTATTTCTTTCTAAGTTCCTTTCTTTCTCCCTTTGTTTTTCTGTTCATGTTTCTTTCTTTTGCTTTCTTTCTTTATTTCTTTCTTTCCTTCTTTCTTTCTTCTCTTGGCTTTTCTTTGCAGTTCTTGATTTCCTCCTTCTCTTTCCTTGTCATTTCTTTTTCTTTTCTTGCTTTACTTGTTTTCTTTGTTTCTTTCTATTTACATATCGATCTAACGATCTTGCCATCTATCTGTCTATGGGTCTATCTATCTGTTCCTTTCTCTACCTACCAATTCGCGCGCTCGGTCTATCTACCTCTGCTTGCGTCTAGCTAACTATCCGTCCAGCAAACCTACCCTTTCTCGCTCGCTCTCTTTCGCCCTTCTGTTTATCCACTTATCTATCTACCTATCCATCGGTCTATGTTTCCCTCCTGTCTGTCCATCTATCACTACCTACCTATCTACCTGTCTACCTACCTTTGTACATAATATCTATCTGTCCTCTACCGTCCATCTATCTACCCATCTCTCTATCGACCTATCTATCCAGCTGTTCCCATCCATCTATCCGTCTACCTACGTCTCTACATGTTGTCCACCGATCCATTTCTTCACAACTAGTTATCTTGGTTTCCGATGAATTTGTCTGTCTACCTGTCTTGCTGCCTATCTACCCATCTATCTCTCTACTTACCTATCTATCTATCTATCTATCTATCTATCTATCTAGAAACTAACCTGTGTTCCATCCATCTATGTCTCTGTCTTTCCATCCCTCTATCTATCCAACCCTATCCTTCTTTCTTGCCATCTCTGCCTACCTATCTATCTCTGTCTCCATACTATATAGATCGATCTATCTCTCTATCTATTGGCCTTGCGAAAGTCCTGTGCCTGCCACAAAATCTGCACCAGCCCTTGCGAAAGCGTTGCGCCTGCCACGAAACCTGTGTAAAAGTGCTGCGCCTGCCACGCAGTTCAAACCTTGCGAAACCTTTGCGTTGCCTTGTTAATGGGTTATGCACTGAACCCGCGCCGAGACTGCGGCGCGCTCGTGCCGAGACCGCGCCAGACAGGCGCCGAGAGAAAGGCGGTTGACATCGACGCGGACCCGCCCGTTATTTGCCCACGCATGTTTTCTCGAAAGTACTCAGTATTCATCTTATCTGCGCGCAAGCTATCTGCATACGCTATCTTTTCGCATAGGCCATCTGATCTTCTGCTAGATATCTGAAAGAGCTTTCTTTTCGCATGCGCTAGCTGATCTTCTGAAGCTACTTTCCAATTTGTTTCCGCACTATGGAAGGTTCCTTCTGAACGTTCTTTGACAAATATAAATGATGCCACCCAACATGTTTTCGTTTTGTTATAATTATTATTATCAGTCCCCTTCTCATGCATGTCTACATAAAGTCTTGGAAACTTCCCTTTCAAACCCCCTTTCCGCGCGACCAGCGAAGCAGAAACAAAGTGCCCTTGATAAGCCCAGTGACCGCCGCTCGTTGCAAGCGACTCAGTGCTGGTAGCATCTGGAGTCCTTGGCAGCTGTGTCAACCTTCATAGCGGGTGCAAAGAAATGTACAGTGTCACAGTGTCACAATTTACCCACAATTCGATGAAACGCTTGAACCAGCACAGCAGCTAGGTGTTGTTTCGAAAAACAGATGGCACTTAAAAATGACTAGAACCAAACGCAAACCAGTGCCATCTATATCCTGCCAACTGACCGAAAACGGACTCAGTCCTTGGCACGCCATGCCCCAACATCAACAAAGCGATGATGAAATACCTTTCCCTTGATTGTCAATCAAAAATGAGATAGGCTGGACAGGCTCAAAACGCTAGACTGACCATGGCAAATAGACAGCTTTACATCTTTTGATTTGTCTGAAGCCTTTCAAATAATTTTCGGCTAGAAGCTTGGTGCATGCGTGAGAAGCAAGCCTTGAAATGAAACCTGGGCAAATGCAAACTCTGCCAGGCTGCACAGTCGATTCAGGGAACTTTCCCATTTTGAAGAAATGTTCAGGGCTAGGGGGTCGCTGAGTGTACTGAGCCAGAATAGTCCTCATGCAACTCTCGTGTACTGCCCTTCTTTTGCAGGAAGGATAGCAGAATGCCCCCCCGCGCCCTCAAATTGGCTGGGTTGCTGTCAGTTTCCTTCAACATCCATCAACCAAGGGTTCCCAACGATCAAAGTCCCAAGTTCTGCTCGATCCCGACAGCCTATGACACATCCCAAGTGCATCCGAGGGGCTCGTCCATCTGGAGCAATTGACGAAAGCGAAGAATCTTGCGCTAAACGAGCCGTCGCAGGCTCTGTACAGGGTGCCAACGCCAAGATTCAGAGTGTGGTGATAGGTGTGCGGTAAGTTTTGATGGATTATCAACATCCAATGACCCAATGAGTCCAATTGCGCATGCCAAATATATATATATATATACACATATATAAAACACATATTCCGTTAGCAAGAACTTGATAGTTACGTCCATCGCGCTCAGCTGCAAATTTCTAGCCCACGCCAGTAAGTAGCAATGACTCGAGCTGGGACCTGTGCACCCGTCCAAAAACAAAATCCAAACGAGGTTGTCCCGGTGAATGAGCTCAAACAGCCGCCGTCAGCGAGTAGCAGCAATATCCCCTCTCCTCTTCTCTCAGTGACCTTCATCCAAGCCAGCATCTTGCGGAGCTGTGCCAATATTGAGGCCTGTCTTTTGGTGAAGCTAAAGAAAGCTCTGGGTACAATGAAGAGGGCATGCATCTCTCCTGGCGTACGGCAGCGAGCACGATCTCAGGGTCTGAGCGCAACTGGCATGGGCGCAGCGACGCAGTAACATGCAGCAGGCAGTGCACATCGCACATCCAATGCACTTGGACGGGCTTGTTGCAGCTTCATGCAAGGCGATGCTTCAATTCTAGAATTCTAGCTGTTTAAAACAACAAGATGATTCCCGGAGAGTCCATTCCGGAAAGAAACTAACAAGCTTTACAACCTACTCAGACTGATATCACGGTCCCTTTTTTCTGGCCCAGCCTTGGGAACTGGAGAATCGCACCCTAGCACAATCCAGCCGCTCCAGCCCTGCACACATTTTCCTCTATACGCAATAAATGATCCTCACGTCAAATCGTCCGGACCTGCCGAGTTGCACAGATCGTCGACAGTGAAAGAAGAAACCCTTTCATGTGTTCACCCCTATGATAAGTTTGTATGGAAGCATTGTCAGTTTACCAGCCAAACAAAACCAAATCAACCCTCTTTGCTTCCAATCAAACAAGCATCAAATGTCAATGCAATGATGACAAACAGCAATGACAGGCCATATCACCTGGCTTGAGAATTCACATGCCAACCACATGCTACATGCCGGCTCCTTCCTGCACAACAGCTGGCATTAAGGGCACATAATCGTATCTGTCTCGCCTAAAATGCTTTTCCAAGTGAGCCGAATCTCAAAGCAACGACCGGCGCAGCCAAAAAAAAAGCTGCTACAAAGGAGAGGCTGACTGCCATCAAATTTGTATGTGAGCTTGGACATTTGGCAAATGCTGTATTGGCCAGGCTTCAAAGCGGCTGAACATCTGCCGTTTGCCGTGTCCAGCAACAAGGGGAGGCACCCAAAAAAGCAGGCCTTGAAGTGATGTTCGTGGGCATATCTGGTGTTCTGGTGTTCCATCGTCCACCGCTGGTGCTCACGAATGATCAACTACAGGGTTGCCTGTTTAGTTTCAGACTTTGCGCAAATGGCAAGCATGGACAGCGCACGGTTAAGTGATCCCCGCGCCAATGAAGCACGCCTTGCTCTAAAAGAAGCACACATATCAGACACGCTTCGGATCATGACATGTTGGCCAACAGGCTTTAAATGAAGAATTTGCCTCAGAAGAAGAGTGTCTCCCCTTCCCACTGGGGACTCCAAAACAAGTGGCCCGCGCAGCCTGCTTGGTCCAGCCTCGCCGTTGGAATGAGCTTCATGACAGGCCCCCCGGCTGGCAGAACGCTAACTGAAGCCAACCGCAAACAACACACTACCCTGGTCAAAACTTCGCAAGTGAAGTGATGGCCCTGACTCTTCGAACAGGATCGACATGGTGTGCCCAGAACGTCCGGGCCTATCGCACCAGGCTGCAGCGTTACTAGTTTGAGATGACACCATCTTTAAACAACAGCCGACTCACACCAGAATGCAAACCTGAGTCTTGCTACCCTGCAAAGACAAAACACACATGTTGCATGCGTGCAACAGCGCCACTGGGATGTTGCGCGGCTGCATGGAACGATTTGTTCATTGGAGCAACTTCAAAAGGACAATGTACCAACTTGTGACGCATCTATCTCCACGTAAAATCCGCTAGCCGCAGCCTCTGCCTAAGGAAACAGCAGCTGAGTTTGGACTCTGCGGAGTCTGTACCGAGCGAGGAGAGCGATGAAAACCAAGCTGCGGCTGGAGACGCAGAGTTCTGCTGGGAGGTCCTGTTTCAGCCCTGGATGTCTTCACTAAAGCCCAAGGTTCATTCACTGCGGACCGAACCGCCAGGTAGTTGCGTAGTGAAGAATACATCGCTGAAAGATCACGCTGTAAGAACGAATAAATAAAGATGGCAAATCAGCAGTGAATCATATCAAAACCTCGTATGAACGTAGTTTAGCCAAAAGCATGACAAGAATGAAACGGGTGGCCGCGTTGCCTAATGGTTGGGGCTCAGGTGTTGATTGTTCTCAGCTCCACTGTTGTGAGTACCACTGCGCATCTCCGAACACTGCAATCCCCTGCAAAACAACAAACCAGGTCAGCAGCCAACCCCTTCACAGCTGTGACTTGGCTTCCGGCAAATCTGGAGAAGCTGCTGCTGGGATGCGGTAGACTCGCATGATATCCTGTGACGCCGCTGGCAAGAAAAGCGGGTCGGCAAATGGGGTTTTGGGATTGCAAACTGCGGCAAGTTTCATCAAGTTTCAAGCGTTCACCAAGAAGAACCACACCATGCAAATCAACCACAAAACACCACACAACTGCGACTGTACCATTCCTGAAAACAAATCACAAAACAGATTTGGCTCAACCATTTATCATTGACAACGATACTGCAACCCCCTCATCAACAGATTTTGGTCACTGCTCCAGCGGGGGTTCCTCCGCTCATAAAATGGACCTCAAAAAGACGTCTTGCCATCCTGCTTGCCACCATCCTTGTCAATTCAGGACAACACAATACCAGCCGGCAAATCACATGAACAGTCGATACACTTGATGCTGCAGCATCGAGCCCCCGGGCCATTCAAGGTTCATTGCATTTGCCAGCCCTGCCTCATTAACATCTTTGGCCATAGAGGTGTCCACCGCTGCAATAAGCTCGCTACCTGAGCAATACCTCAGTGTTCGGCTACGCTGCCATGCGCTGTGCTTTGATGCTTCCACAAGCAGCTATTTCGCAGGCGGACATCGCTCAACAGCCAGCAACAAATGGGCCATGTCTGCCATGCACATCCCAAAACGTATGCTTAGGAGCGCGACAAACTCAGCTGAATGAAATCCTTCTTGGACTGCAACTGCCTCAGACTGGCCGCGGAAGGCTGTTGGATGCGAACCTTCCGTCAAGCTGTCAGCTCTCGAGGCACCTCAGAGCGGCACTGGATCAAGGAGTACCTGAGCCACGCATTTCAGAGCTGATACCCTTTCAGCTCCCTTCTTGGCTTGTCCAATGGTGCGGTCAACATGTCTCACTTGCAAAGGTGCACAGAGTGAACATGCGACATGCCGGTCCTCTAATTCGACAGCAAATTCCAGCCAAACATCGAAGCAACCCGGCAACTGTCATGCGAGCAGCTGCACTCACCAGCTTTTGGCTGCTTGAGTCCTGGGCACCCCACATTTGCCGCAGGTTCACCACCGGCTGGCCGCAGACTGAGACAACCCGCCGCTCGTTCAGCAGTGAATAGCCTGCTGTGCGCCTTGGCAAATGGCACAGCCGGATGCCCCAGAAAAAGCCACTGCAGTGGGCTCCTTCAGACGGGCGTTAGTCCACTTCCTTCCAGCACTATCAAAGAGAGATCCATGTCAATGCCATGCCGTGCTAACTTCTCGTTCTGGGATGTGCACGAAAGCCGTTGCCAAGATTGTGCCCAGCCAACCGAGCCGCGAGCTTGGAAGGAAAGCATTTGCTGAGGATCACAATCTGCTCCTGAAACTGCGCCCAGTTGCCAGGTCACATGAAAGTCAAACGCAGCTCCTTATGCAAAGCAATCCTCCTTGGCTAAAGGGTGCCAATCCATTTTGGTGTCAAAAACTAGCAGTGGTGGTCGGTGCCTTGTTTCTGCCGTTTGGACAGCGAGGAAAACAAATCCGAAATGTCATTGCATTCGGATATCCTGTGAAGTACTTAAGCTCAGGACGATGCAAGAAAGAGAGAACCAGTCCACAAGTGGCCGCAACATGATTGTGGATTGTCCCTAACTCGTATTTTCCTCAGAGCATGGTCACAAAAGCCTGCAATTCCTGCGCATCTGCAGATAGAAGGGCGCTCCTCAGGGTCCTTCTTCATGCCTTCCCTCTGCATCATTAACAAATCCACAGGCGCGTCTTGCTGCCACTTCGAGCCTCTGGCTGGTGCAACTGCCACGAAAACAAACACGCATCTTGTGAAGCTTGGTAAGCCGTTGTGCTTGGCGTGCTTCCCAAATGAAATAGTATTGGGTCTCGGAAAAGTTGGATGTCGGCCCCATGTCCTGTCTAGCAATGATGTTGTCAGCTGGCCCAAATGGCCAAAACAATCATTGCACCAGCAACCGTGCTCGCAGCGCTTGCACGGCAGCCTGGGCGCGGGGCCCCATTCCTGCAAATAGGACCTCGCCACACGCCCGTCTGCCGCAGTTCTGTAAGGTCAATCCCTCGACATTGCCTCTGTGTCACTGCGTAAAATGGCAACATCTGCAGAGGTTTGCGACCCGAACCTTGGGGATGCAAAGGACAGGCCGAGAAACTCCAGAGACGTTGCATAGGAAGAACAAACAACAACAACACAATTGCGATAAGCCTTGTATGTTCAATTAGAGTGATTCCTCCGCCAGCTCTGACATCCAAACATGGTAGAACTTAACTTGGGGTCATCTCTCCTTCACTGACGAAAATATGAACAGAAGGGAAGATAGCAGCCGCCATGCTTGGGTTGTTTAGACTTAAACCTGATAGCATAGGCCTTCCTGGGATGCTAGCTACGAGTTGCGCTTTGGCTCACAAGCGTAGGGTTCTTCGAGCCTTCCTCAACTTCCAAGCTACTCAGCACTATACGCACTGAGTGCATCTAGCGGAAAACATTGCTGCCAGGTGATGCTTGCGAGTACTCTGAAAGGCTACCTTGAATGGCACATGGCGCACCAAATGGTTGGGAGCATGACCTCCTCTTGAGTTGCCACCATGTTGTGAGTTTGTCGTTTGGCATGGACCCACTGCTTTTCGGGGCGGTCCGCTATGCTGGCACAACTAGACCTGGCTGTCGGGCTACTTTCCTGCCGAACACAAATGCAGGCAAAGCGACACGGTAAGAGGAAGAAACAGCATGCCGCTGTAGAGAAACCAGGGCTGCATGGTGTCTTGAACCTCAGCAAAGGGCAATCAGCTGTCAGAATTACCGTGGCAAACCTCCGTGAAAAGCAATCAACCGGGAAACCGATTTGGAACTTCACTGTGCAACCCATGGCAAGTGGGTTGCCCCGTTATGTGGGTCATGCTTCCATGGCGCAGCCTGCTGCAGAAAGTTGTGTCAGGCGCTTATCTGGATACTGTTTACGATTCAACATAGTGGCCCAATCGGCAAAAGCTTTCTTTTGGAGGAACGGCAAGTATTCACTGCCCACTCACCAAGCACGGTCTACTAGCTCTACTTGGTGGCACGAACCAAGGCTTGTAGCAACACGAGAGGATGGACACCATCCATGTTCTGAGCGGCGTGGATTGTTCGACGCAAGGAGCTCCGGCCGAGCTTCTGCACAATGGTCACATAATTTCCATCAAAGATAACCATGGCTCCCGCAATCTAAGCCATTGTAGTAATGGGGGCTGCCAATCCAAGCGCCCCTTTCACTATCCCGTGGCAAAGTGTTGCCCTTTCGAGAACCATGATCACATTTTCCTTTCCTTGCCAATGAATCTGAAGCATATCAGCTCCTTGCTCAAAATAGTCGCAACTGTTTGGGATAAGCGAAGCTATTGGTTACCTTTGCCTTGACAACCTGCGGCCTCCCACGTCAATGCATCACTGCGTGAACTCCATCGAAAATACTTGTATGGCCTTCCAAAAAGCGACTCACAGCCAGAACACACCCTTTGGAAGTTGTTGCTGCAGTTTGAGTAACTCCACAGCGCTCTGTCCCAACGCTTGAGGCATCGCCAAAACATGTCGGATGTCACTTGAAATCAAACCTGTCAGGTAGGGAAGAAAGTTGATGCAAATCTCAAGGCCTGCCCCCCAGGTTAAACCAGTCGGGTGGAGAACAACACAAAAACAGATACCGTGCTTTGGGAAAGCCATGACCATGCGCAACTCGAACAATGACCCAAATCCTGGGTTTTGTGTGTGTGTCTGTGGGGTGGGGGTGCCTTCGTGCGTGCAGAAGTTTGGGGAGTTGGGTGAGGTGTGGGCGCTTTCGCGCTTGCCCGTGCATCTCGCGCCCTTCCCAAGGCTGAGGTCATCGCACTGACGGGCACCAGCGGCGCCGTGGGCTGCGCGGGAACTTCCAGGCCTGCGGGCCGGAAGCTGATCTAACACGTCGCGCAGGCAAGTGGCGTCGAGCCTTCCTGGGGTCCTCTCGACTTCAAGCGCAACTGTTTTGAAGCGTTTTGGGTCAGCCCACACAAATGAAAGGATTGCAGTGGCAACTAATCAGTTGGTACAACCCAACCAGGTAGCCGAATATCCAGCAGGCATCCGGTAGAGCTGAGACCTTTCTGCCGGTCCTAGATCATCGAGATAACCGAGTAAACGCAGAGCTGCACATCTTGGATTCCCACCACACATTGTAAAGAGACAAAAATAGGCTTCCGCTCAAGGAGCTCCTGCCAAACAGCAGAAACTCCAAAGGGCTTGAGTTGTACAGCGGATCTGAGCTTGTCTCTGCAAAACACCAGGCTTGTTGGCGAGTCTGCAGCAACTTCACCTACCCTTTCCTGCGCTTTCAGCAGCTTCTGGGAACAGGAATCTAAAGTATCTAAAATCATGAAGTCTGTTTATGAAAACAAAATGTCGAGGAATCTGTATGACACAAATGAAGCATGTTGAGGCTCCCACAGATCTCCTCTCCCTCTCGCAGCACCTTCACGCTCACCTGTAGAAGCCATAGTCAAACATCCAAGCCCGGAGAGAAAATTGCAAATCCCGGTCGCTCCTGGTGTGAGATATCCCGAGGACTCAACCGCCTGCCCTTCAGAACTTCAACTCTGTCAGAAAATAGTGTCACCGCTGAATGTCCTGCAAAATAGGTCCCAGTAAGCTGAGTAAGGCTTCCTCAAGCAACATGATTTATTGGCACAAGCCAGAAGATTACCATGAGTTGACTGATGCTTCCATCTCATCCCACATCCGCACTTACAGTCCACGCGCTTCTGGCAAAACCCGGCCCTGGGTCCCTGGCCTTCTGCCCCGGGAACTTCAGCTGGATCAGGTACACAAAACTAAGCCGCTCCTGGCGCGTGAATGAAGGAGACTGACAGGTGCCTCACCACTGCTTGCTGCAAGGACCAACCTGAGGAACACGTTGCCTGCAAGCAAGTCAACCAAGAGCTGCGTTGAATGGTGGTACCAAAGAGCCAGGGCTAGGGCGGTGCGTTATCTAGCCGCACAATCCTTTCTTTCGTGAGCGCATCGCGTTGCCTGATCCTTGAATGGTGCGCGCCTCATGCTTTGGGAAAGGCGGTCAAATATCAAGCCTAACTGGCAGTTAATGAAGTATCTACTGGAGCTGCCTGGACGAGTGAAAATGACGTGCTCCAGCGCAGAATCCCAATTTGTTTGGCAAACTGTCTTTGTCTTTGCAGGCGAGCCTGGAAGCCCACGTAGAAGGTCCCGTCATTGGAGACAATGTGCCCTTCCAGTTCAAGAATCACATCCTCGAGAGGAGAATTTGAGTCAGAGCCAACTCTCTTGTGGAACCCCTGGCCAAGCGTCAAGCGCCAATATATGAAAACTCCGGCCGAATCTCAGGCGGAATCCAGCAATTAGCGAAATCGTCACACAAATCGGTACACTTAAGGAGCATACCTCTCGCAGTCACCAAAATCGCATCAAATCTGTTTGCAGGAATTGTCGCCGGATCGATCTTGCGGAATTGTGAGGAGTGTTGCCGGAAGTTCGGCACGAGGTGGCGCTAGCCAATGCCAGAATCAATGTCAAAATGCCAACTGCCCAATCCGGAAGAATGGCCGAAAGGTCAGACATGGTCAGACATTGGCCCAGAGCACACACAGGATACACACAGGGCATTTCTGCCACGAGGACTTTTTTTTCGCGCACTGCCATTTTCATGGATCCCTGGCCACCACTTGCTAAGAAGGGGCCAGCTGCCAAACGGCAACTGCCCGGCTTTCACCAAGCAGAATCCTGCGCATGACAAGCAGGAAGAACCCATGGGTTTGTTTCACAAGAGCGCTCTTGCTCCGAGCAGCACGTACTTACTTACTTACTTGCTCTGCGACAAGGCAGTCCAACCTCATAGTTGTCCATCACTCGAAGATGTGAATACAACTCGTCCTGAAATGGATTATATATTCTCGCCCTCAGTGCGAACTTGAACCAGTAGTCGTCCACCACGTGCGAGGCATCAATGCCGGCATACTCTTCTTCGATGCTCCAGGATGCCCCGTCAACAAGTGAGAAAATATGAACGGGCACGCTGCCAAACCTCACCCCCTCCCCACATCTGGAGCCGCAATGAAGGTTCACACCACAAAGCCTTGAGGCCCCCGGCGCCAGTCAGCACCAAGTCTTTGGCAGGCGACAGGGGAAGCATCCCTCGCACGTACACCTCGGAGCTTTTTAGCCTTCAGAATGGGAGGCACCTGCCCCTGCTGTAGGGTCGGTTTAGGGTTGGTCGAGGGTCGGTAGGGTGGGTTTAGGGTCGGTTTAGAGTTGAATTAGGGGGTTGACTTAGGGGGTGCGAGTTCAGGGGCTCGGGGATGCGGGGTCTGGAAGAGCACTCAGGGAAGGCTGCAAAGTAGCAGAAACAGAAGCAAAAGCAGGATCATCAGCCAGCAGCACAATCGGAAGCATGCCAGCAGTCACCGCATCTTACGGATCGCCAATCAATCTTCAAAACGATACTCAACAATTCAGTACTCAACACGCTCAAAGTCTTCTTCTTGGTAGGCTATGGGATGCTGCGCATCCATTTCTAGGCTGCCCAGACACCGGTGCGATGGCCCAAACCCAGGAAGTGGCGCCTGGTGCGAACTGGTAGCATGTGCAAAAGTTCAAGGATGCAAGAGCAAGATCCACTCTGATTGAAAACTGTCAACAAACACACAAAAGCCTCGGACCCAAAAACAAGCACCGTATCCAACCGGCGTCGCTTCTAAGACTCTCGGAAGACAAATGCTGAGCACGGAGCAGCTGATCATTCTCTAATGCCTGGCAGGGCCAGAAGGCCGAAGCAAAACAACTTGCACCAATGCATGCAACGCAACAGCGGTCCTCGCCTGGTAGAAGTTGCAAGCACAAACACACACACACACACACACACACACACATACACACACACACACACACACACACACACACACACACACGCAAACACACGCAAACACACGCAAACACACGCAAACACAAGCAAACACACGCAAACACACGCAAACACACGCAAACACACGCAAACACACGCAACCCGGAAATCCATAAATTTCCTGCATGACTCTCACTGTTTCAAACGCCGGCACCAGGAGCTATCCTGTCCTGGTAGAAGATACCCAGCGAACAGAAGCCCTGACACCGAGAAGGGTCCTTCAGTTGCAATGCGGAAACTGGAGCAACCTCAAATCCATCACGAGAAACATCGAAGTCTCAGTAGCTGCTTTTGTGGCAGATTTCTCTGGCTTCCACCCCAGATTCTCCTTTGGGTCTGTGTCGTTCAAGAAGTGCTCAATGACAGGCACGGGAATGATGTAGCCAATGTTCTGCGACCTTGGAGGCGGTGATTTGTCACGAAACAATAACGCATGGCAGCGTGCCAATGTGATCCGCTGTGTGTCTCATGGATTATGCTTCCGTATGTCTACCGGAACCTGCATGCAGTGCACGTTGACAGTCAATGCTTCTTGACTCGACAGGAACAAAAGAAGTTGACACCGACGCAAACCAAGCAGTAGGCGTCCCGTACATATTCCCGAAGCTGCTGAAACTTGCAATTTGAGGCCAACAAAAGCACAGGGAAAGGGCACAGCGCGCAGCTGCCTGTCACACATCCCTGAAACCGTTTGCAGTTGCAATGGTCAATGGACGGAACCTACAAATCAAAGTGGAGAATGAGACCCTGCCCCCGATTTACATGCAGGGGGGATTGCAATGAATACGAACGAAACACAGGTCCAGTGCCTCTACTGCCCGCTCGATGTATGTCACATACACGTTGTAAGCCCCTCACTCGTTTGAAGGCCACAGCTTGATAACTTCCTCAGCCAAGATGCTCCTGCTGGAGTTGGAAGGCCACGCCGATAAGCAGTGACTCCTTGCAACGGGGCAGCAGAATGACAGCTGGTAGGAGAATCCAACCAGGCAGCATCAACCAAGACATGGCAACACGAACGTGCCACTGGTATACAACTGAAGAAAGCTTGCTTCCGTGCAGTCAGCGGCGACCACCAGCCTCTTGAAAGTGATCCCGCGATCTCTTCCGTTGATTGAGCAAGCGCGTGTCCTGCTCGCAACCTGATGTTCCTAAAACATAACTACGTCACACCTCGCACAGCGGGCGGGCTTCTAAAGCCTCAAAGTCAAGCCACGCTGCAGAACCAACCCGGACCAACCCCAATCCTCGCGATATCTCGCAATCCTTGCTCACCACGTCTGCTGCTTGAGCGGCACAGCTCATGTTGGTCATCACTGCACATCCGCGCGCTCGCAATGCTGAATTTCTGACTAAACTAATAGGCCAGCTCGCCGACAGGCGCCTGGGCGTAAAAGCGCTTTCGCTCTCCCTCGCCCAGCAAACTTCGCAGTTCAACAGCGTGACCTCTAGATTTGGCATTGCGGGAAACTACTTGACCGTGGACAACAACTCGCAGAAACGCAGCTGGATGAAATTCCTTCCTTTCTTGCAGGCGATCACTTCGTCGAAACCTGCTTCAGGCAGTAGCAAAGAGTACCCTCCATAGCTCTTGTAAAACTTTGCCGCGGTTTGGTCAATCAAGCTTCTTCGCAACACCCCCTGCCATCGACGCCTCGGCAAGATGTCAGAATGATGTCAGAAACCTGGCAGTACCCGTCGAGTGTGTTCCTGAGCAGATTGCCGTGGAGTCAAAGCAGCACACTGACAGGAGAAACAAAACATCACTGCAAAAGAAAGACGGAGTCGCCCGGAACGTGGATATCCACACGCGCCGCTCCTGGGACGTCACACCCCGCCAGGCTGAGAAGCAGCTCGCTTGGCGTTGTTTACTTCTCTGGCCAGCAAGGCCCACGGTCTGCCCACCGCGCAAAAAAGTAGCTCAGGATAATCCGTTCAGGAAATTGAGTCGAGCGGCGACACCAACAGCAGCCGCCTTGTCTTCGGCCGCCGTGACACCTTACGCCCAGTCAAGACTGCCCAAGCTGCCGCCGTACTATAGTTCTCACACGCAACGCCCAGTAGCGAGAGTTTCTTTGAAGTGCTGCCAAACCCACAGCAGTGTTCCTCGTTCCTCCCATATGTCAACCCCTCTCGTGTCACATCAGACGCAAAACTCAACGGCCGGACGGACAGCCCGCTCATGCACACAGACCGGCATGGGCTGAAAACTCGCGAATGTGCTTCTTCCTAACGCAAGCCAGCACCAAAGCTGGCAGCGGCGCTTCCACCACCCGCAGCACAATGACACACGCGTGCAGCTATGGCGTATCGCCAGCGGTGAGCATTGTGACAAAGATGCGCCTGCAACAAGGCATTTGCACTCTGTATTCTGCAGTCTGCAACAACACATATTCTATCTTGGCTTTCCGCAACAAGAAGACCTGTGCGGAGCTGGGGTGCTTGAAGCCACGCGGGTAACTATCCCTCCCAGCCCCGCCCCCAAAGCCCTCCCCAGGGTGCCTTTGTTGTTTTGCTACAAAAAGGCGAAATTATCAAGCGCCTCGTGACGAGCTGGGCAACTCATTGGTCACGCCTGATGGCCTTTGGCCAGCAAGGAGCAAAATCGCTGGCTGATTTTGTTCGAACCATTTCACGCACCAAGGCGCAAAACCTTGGTTGGTCAGTTCTGCAATAAACAAGTCAATGCTCAAGGTGAAGCGACTTCTAAACTTCTCCACAACACTAATCGGTAACTTCTTTGCTTCAGATGCACATTCGCATCCCATTTACTGTAACAAACACAATTGTTCGCGGTTGCGATAGTTTTCGACACAAACAAACATTGTTTACTACCAGGCGACCAAGTAGTTAGATCAATGGACATGCTTTATTTGGATAAAGCCAACTACTGCTTAAATTGTCAGTTCTTGCGAGCCTGAAGCAAGGGGGCTAGGTCCCAGGTGCCTTTCGCCCTGGCCAATCCTCATCCAGAACGGGGCCACCGGAGTTACCCGAGTTGACCGCCGCCTGAGCGCATGCGACTGCCAATCTGCTAGGCTGACGTCAGAAGCGAATGAAGCAAATGGCCATGTGACCCCCGCCCAGCACCTTGTCTTGAAGCCTGGGGCGCCCTACGAGCGGTCTGAGTGATCTAAGTGCTGCACGTCAATCTGCACTGCCAACAGATCCACCTTGGTGGATAACTAGAAAATTACGGGGGCACCTCGCGTCTTTGCAGAACTGACGTGACAACAAACAAAAATTATGTTGTTCACGTGATCCAGCAACTGCTGCCGAACCACATGATGCTCCCTGTGGAACAATGATCTGCCACTGACACCGGCCGACTTCAACGAAAGTCTTGCGGCGCCGCATTGTCAATAGTGCCCAGTGCCTATGTCCGTGTCCGACAATGGCAGCGGGGCCCCAACCCCAGAATGCGCGTAGGTCTGAATCTCGATGCGAGACCTTGGTGCCCAATTAGAATATCAGCTGCGATGATCAGCGCCATCCGCGTTGTCTTACTTAAGTAATTTTCGCGCTTTCCTTGAAAGCTAATTGCCGCCCCTGCCGTCCTTGGCTGTCAATTGGTTGCTTTGTTGGCTGAACGCAAATGCTACCTAAAGCCCAAAACTCCAGCCATTCTGCACAATACGTGAATAAACTCCGAGGTATGTCAACTGTCCGCAATCGATCTGCTGTTGAGCCGCGACTGCTCCATTCCAAAACATCTTTCTGAGGGCCGCGCACCACCCCCTCTGTGACGGACACACCATCACCACCGAGGGGATAACCCACCACAGAGACTTCATCCTTGCAGAAACCACGCTGTCACACACATCAAAAGCCACTTCAACCTCTCATCGGTTTCTCTGCCAACCTGTGGTGGGAAGTTCTCTCCAGCTACACACAATGGAAACATCCACAACCACACACCCACAACCATTGAAGCAATTTCTTGAAAACTCGCTTTGGAGCCAATTTGTCATCGAGTTTACTCATGCAAGTTGTGCACTGCTTTGTGAAACAAACACCAAGGCTATTGGAGCACGTCAGGCAAGCAGCAAACTTTCACTCAAAAAATGGCGTACCTCCGTCCCAAGTCGTGGCTCAGTTCCAATTTGATCATGTTATTCATGTTCCTTATGATGCCTCGCTCACATCTGCGCTGGGATTCCCGCCAACGGAACCATGGCCAAATCATAGATCACTGTAGCCATATATGAAGTTGTCATTTCGCTTTAGCAAGAAGAAGAGTTCCACCCTTCTCCAAGTGGAACATCGTGCTGCAAAATGTTCAGTATGTCATGACTAGTGTAGCTTCCCGGCTGCGCCTGCAACGATGGCATGCTACCCAGCTTCAAAAAACTGACCTGAGCAGCGTTCATGCTCAACAAACAGGCCTCTGATAAAGCTTCAGATGTAATTTAAGACACAATATTCCAAATAACATGTCAAATTCAAGCAGCGGCCAAAAACAAAGGCTGTCGTCTTGTGGCTCCTGCGCCAAAGTGCGAACAGCCGAATTACAAGCACGCAAGCAGCGACCTATCCGCTTTCCATGCTGACTGCGCGCCAAACTACATGCATCTGTTCAGTCCAGTCAAGTAAACATTTGAGAGTATGTCACGGCAAAGGCCACCTGATGGCATTTGGCACTTTTCCATTTTGGAATGGATCGGCCGAAGACGTAAAGAGAGAACAAATTTACAAACTGCGCACCTGCGGCTTCCTCTGAAGGCTCATGAAGTATGGAGGCAAACCAAGTTTGTAAGCTTATGATTCTAAGGGGTCACTGGCAGTCGCTGACAGCATTATCAAACATAGGCTGCTGATTGTCGACAATATGATGCGCTAAAACTGATCTGACAAGGTCGTAGATATGTAAAGATCCAGCAGATTATATATATATATAGATATTCCCAACACCCTGGGCTGCTGAGCTTGGTATCATTCAAATCACGGGGACGGTTGCAAGTCTTGCAATGCAAAACTGCAAGGCGCCTCGCCACACCGTACCTGGGCCTAATTTATCTTCGTGAGCCTTGGGTCACGTGTCAGCCACTGGGCTCTCGCCGATGGTAGCATCCCGAAATCATGAAAGTATTTGATTCTGGAAATTCTCACTCACACGTTTGGCAGTGTCAGGGGCTTATAGGAAAGATACCCCAAAGGGCACCTTTGGTGCTCGAGTCCCATGCGCAAGTGCAACATTTAGGCCATGCTTTTCGTCTAATTCACATCGTGAAAGTATGATGCCCAATGGATGGTGACTGGATGCTGAGAAGCCGTTTGCGAACACAGTGCACAAGTCTATCTAGGCCTTTCAGGAAAAAAAGGAGACGTTCGGAGCTGCAGCCCTTCATGAGATGTGCGCCAAGGCAAGTTTGTGCCTTCCTCCCTCTTGAACCAACAGAAAGCCCGGCTGTCCATCTATGTGTCATCAAACGGTGGAAGCGCGCCCGAGCTGCATTTAGGAAAAGGGCTGTCACTGCGTAAAATCTAGAAACGAGCAAGCGACCATACGTCGGACAAGTTCCTCTTGTTCCAATGATTTCTGACTGAGGTCACAGCATCCGACCAGAAGTCCTCATCCTCAACACCTAAGATGTAAAGCATTGGGTTGGATGAATTGCGTGTTCCAAGGAAACATCGAAGAAATATCCGGGAGGCCATTTCATCTGCTGGCTAGCTTGTTAAGCGATAACCTGCGAGGACAAAGTCGCTCATGTACATTCCCAACATATTCGAAGTCAACCCACAATTCATGCGAACACACTTGGGAAGCCTGTATTGCCACGCGCAGCATTCCAGGCTTACAAGCACAGATTCTAGATGTTTTTCGCTCCCCCAGTTCTCCGTCGTTGAACATATCTGTAAAACCAATGGAGAAGTTTCTGGACAAGAAAGTCAAAGGTTGCTTCATAATAAAAAAGCACATTCTTCTAGTGCCCTCCGATAGATAAGCAAAAGACAAAGAGCTGGATACAAATTGCCACGGATGCCCAAACGAGTGGCACTTTCGCTCCAGTCAATCTGAGCCAGGAATTCTGCAAGTGTTTCCAGGCTCTGTTGTAGGGCCAACCTTGGTTTATGCGATTTACACAACATTCACGACAAATCACATGTTCAACTGGGATGTCGAAAACATGACTGAGTGCATGCATAACGTGGTCTAACTGAATTGTCTCGTCTCGCAGCCGGTATGTACACAAGTTTCTCCCATGCTTGGCTTCAGCAACCGGGAACTGCTGCAACAGCCCTCAAATATGCAAGGCAAAATGAGGGGGTATTGTGGACTTGCCAAAGCAGCCTGGCTAGAGACCGGCATGCACTGAGGGGATGACAGTAACGATCTCGAAACTCTGGAAAGCCCTTAATTGGGATGCATCGACTGTATGGACTGCAAGAAAGGCGGGCGCGCGCTGTTTTGCCCGCATTGGTGCTTGTTCCCAGCCAAGGTGAGTGTCTTTCCGGTAGAGAAATGGCAACCGGGCATGGCTGCATCGCCAGCAAATGATTCATCTTGTGGCTCTTGTTGCTTGTCCCTGTTCTGATAACTTGATGCAGGCTGCAAGAATAAGTAATTAGACTCGGAACTAGGGCTCGAGTTAGTCCTTGCCACTCCGTATAACTCTGGTAACCTCATCATTGCAGCACGCCGCATCCTTGCACACAGTGTAGCCTGGCATGCAGCCATTGCCGCACAAGCTGCCTATCCAGCAATCATGATGATTTGTTAGATGATCCACAAACTAGTTAAGCCATCGTGACAACAGGAACAAAGGCGACCTTAGATGGGATCAGATGGGTTGTAAACAAACAGAATGCAGTATGTTGACAATATTTGTCCGAATGGGGCAAGATACCTTGCCAACCAGAAGACGTGCGAAATGTTGCAAACAGAAAGAGCCGGCGCAATGGATAGATCCTTCTCATTTGAAAAATACAAGGAGCAAACCTGCCCATCGTGCCCCAACATGCATTGATTCCGAGGTGAGCAGTGAGCTCAACAAAGTTTCGCCGTCATGCTGCACAGCTCATTACTTCAGGTCGACCAATACCTGCCTTCTCTTCTTGGATAATTGCTTCAACAAAGCAATATTATGTTCCAGCTGTTCAATCAATGCAAAAGCTCCAGCAAGGCCCACTTGAGCGCTCGCTTGGGGGGAAACACTGTGCCCACCGCGAGATCACGCAACAGCGCAATCTGTGTAAGACCGAAATGATCCCGAAGAACAAGTCGACCCGCTAGTCTATCGAGTGTGTATTGACAAGTCACGGACATCAGTGAAGCTCTGGTTCAGCAAGAGCTGTGCAATGCGCAGCATCGCCACGTCCAGCATCTTGAACTCTGGGAACGAGGGGGAAGGCCTCATGATCGCGTGGCTCAAGCTTCAAGATCAGCCATGACTCGATCAGTGCGAAAAGCAGTGGAGACCGAATGTGGCCAATACGATATCGAATTGCCATTGGCTTTGATTTGCGGGGCGAGGGGAGCCATTTGGTTCGTCTCCACAATTCTTCAGGGGGTTCGCTTTGAAGCTCTGCCAGCATGCGGGCGGTTGTGAGTGCCTCCCACCAGCATTGCTAAACTGCGCACTTGTATCTGTACTGATCCCTTCTCAAGAAGAGCTACACGCAAAAAGGAAGGAGCAACGGTCCATGGCCAGCCAGCGTGGCTGAGGTCCAGGCTGACCAAAGGTGTGCATGACCTGGCCACAGTGCACAAATCTGAGCCCCGAAGGGGTGACTGCCCACTGTCTCCCTTAACTGCTGAATTGCTAGAGCCAAGCAATTTGTCTACACTACATGGCCGCTGTCAAATTGATCTTCAGAACGCATCCTTGAAGCCAAAGCAAGCTTCTCAGCCATGTACTGCACGACAGGCAGTGCTAGAGAAGAGTGCCAAACAAGGAAAAGGCCTTGTAGTTTTGCAGATCTGCTGAGGGCTGAGGATGTGATTTGCCTTCAGGTCTGTGGTTGGCAGTTGCAGTGTAGGTCTTAGTAACGCATTGATGTGGCCCATCGCAGGCTCATGCGAGCATCAGAATCACACTGGATAATATGACGCTGCACAATTCAAAGCAAAGGGCTGATCTAGGCTCTCTATGGAACAAATATAATTCGCGAAGTGGAGGATTTCCACAAGATAGCCCACAACATGTCATCAAAACCCGGTTCCCTTCAGAATCCAACTTTGTCGCTGTCAACTTAGGATCACACGGCTTTGATCTCTGACCCAACCCATCTACTCCCATCGCCTGTCGTGCAGCCCCGAACAGTTCGTCCGTGGTGTTCTAGGCAGCAGGCGAGCTCTTGACACTGGCAAAAGCCACCAAACAACAACTTTCTTTCACCTCAGCAATGGCCTTGACCATGGTGTCTTGTTCCGACCTGTTTGTTGGCCTCACTCTCAGTCTCAAATCAACAAAGCTTCCACTTGCCTCTGTAGACCTCAAAAACCGCTAGCTGAGTCACACTAGACGTAGAGTACAACACATGACAAGTGTCAACGAGCTTCTTGCGGATGATGGGGACCCGTCAAAAGACAAAGTAAGTCTAAGCGACACATGTCACACGTAACAAAGGAGCAGCCATTCCCTTAATAGTCCCTGATATGTGGAACATGACCAATCACAAAGGCTGGGTGGCACTTCAGCCGTGCAGCAGAAAAATTGCCAACCTTCACGTGAGTCCGGATGATGTTCAGCAGGCGGTGCTGCCAAGTGGTTGTGAATTTTGCGGCAGGGCCCGGGTTGCATTTGACCTTGGAGAATGCCATACGAGAGGTGAAGGCATCGATCCCAATCTTGTTTCATGAATGGCCTCTTAAACAACGCAAACTCATGCAAACATTGTCCAAGACCTTGCCGGATGTTGGCTCCGCAAACAACCAGGAGCTCTGGTTGATGGCGGTTGGAAGCTTCACAAAGACAGAGAGAGAGAGAGAAAGAAAGAGAAAGAGAAAGAGAAAGAGAAAGAGAAAGAGAAAGAGAGAGAGAGAGAGAGAGAGCGAGCGAGCGAGCGAGCGAGCGGAGGGAGGGACGGAGGGAGGGAGGGAGGGAGGGAGGGAGGGAGGGAGGGCGGGCGGGAGGGCGGGAGGGAGGGAGGGAGAGGAGGGAGGGAAAGCTTGGGCGCTTCCATTGCAAAGCAGTGTCAAAGCAAACTGCGCGCTTACTTCATAGTGTTGCTACCAAAAATTGTAATTTGGTTTCATGACACGAAGCGGTAGATTCCCCCCGAATACCGGACAGCATTTGTCAGTGCTTGGTCGGACAGTGAAGATCAAAAGCACGCACTCTAAGCTCGGTGCCCAGTGACCGCTGCCCAACCTGGAGAATCAAAGGCTCATTTTGGGTCCGGTCCATGTCAGAGCAAGCAGTGGCAAGCCTCCGCCTACAGAAGTTGAGGCCCACCAAACTACTGCTCAAGTGGTGTAACGACAAAAGCAGCTGCAGCAGAAGCGGCAGCAGGGGCAAATGATACTGACAATGGTCATGTCAGCAAACCCCATGCTAACCATAAAAGCAACATCACAACAGCCAAAACACCGCCAAACTTGACAGCGGCAGCTGGAACAGCAACACACACCGATGACAACAATGGCAAGCAGCGACAGTTAGAGGAATGGCTACACGGGAACAAAAAGAGAAGAAAACAAAGCGGGCCTAAGCCGAGGCACTTGCTGTACTGCACACTCTGGAGCTCATCGACCCTGTCTCCGCGGAAGGTGCAGTTGGCGTCTGCATTTTCCTGCAACAGCAATAGCTCGCCAGGGGCGATCTCTATCAAACACTTGCCAACATACAAAAGCGCACGTTCAAACCAAGTGCCTTTAATGAGCCATTGGTAAGTGAATTCAACCAATGCAGAGCTTGAAGCCGGGAAGATACATAATTAAGGCCTTGGAACATACCAAGGACAAAAACACGATGGGCCTGGCTGTCAAGCCTCGGATGCGGCAATGCGTTTGTAGTCAGTGCTGCAGCTCTGGGAAGGCATACAAAGCTGGAAAGTTCACAGCCGAGCGGGTAATGATGAGACGCGTCAGCGACATTAAATTGAAGTGATGGAACTTTCAAACACACTCCAGTTCAGTGGTCAAGTCAACTTGGCCTGGGACCATGGGAGCTCCACGCGTTCCAACTAGCTGCTTCGAACGTGTTTCCTCCGACTGCGTGAGTCCTGCTTTTTCACACCTGAGGGCTTCCCCCTGAATCGTTTTGGAAGTTGAATCGCCTTGAAAGTTGAATGATAAGGGGCAAGTATTTAATTGCCTCTGCTTGCAATACTGTGAATGGAAGCTTCAACAAGGAGGCACGTGATCCCACATTTCTCAGCTGCAACCCTTACTAGGGTTCGGCAAAAAACAACTCTCCTACACATTGGTGTGGTTCGAGTGTCATCCTACTTTCTGGAGCTTGCTATGTGACCCAAGACGAGCATATGCAGCATAATACATGAGTTGCGGCACACCAATCCAGGCTTTTCCGATTTTGTAGCCTGTGTAGAGACAGGCCTTCCAGTCTCTGGTTGAGACATGGCGCAAGTGGCACACCATTCTAAAAAGGTCTCCGGCTGAAGGAGTATTTGTCCAAAG